GCGAGGCCGGCCGCCCGCCCCGAGAAGGAGGCGGAGGAGGAGGCGGCGGCGGCGAGGCCGGTCCTTGCCCGCCCTGCCTCCCTGCCTGCCGGCTCGCTCGCTCTGAGGAGGTGGCGGCGGAGGCGAGGCCAGCTACAGAGCGACTCCTGCGCACGCGCAGGAGACGCTCTTGTACTTTCAGGGGGATTTAAACATCCCCCCGAGATTTTTTTCAACATTTTATATTCGAGTGCTTTCCTATCCACAGCCGTACAACTGGCAAACCAGGCACAGACGCAGTATACATCAGATTGATGTAATTTCTGTGCACTGAGGACAAGCAAGTCCTAGGTTACAAACTGAACTCTCCAATGCAAGAATAAGATGCATTTCTTCCTTTAGGAGGTGCGATTGTCAGAAGAAAATAAAAAAGTTTCAGTTTTGTTTTTGCATGTGGGTGGGTATTCTGTAATAATTGTTTGGATACACTATATTTTTAATATGCTTGTTGTGATAATTTCATGCCACCCCCCGAAAAAAACCGGGAAAAAAACGGGGGTTTTTCCGAGCTTCAAAATTTCTGGAAATTTTACATCTCTAATCCAGGCTAAATTATCCCAGGAAAATGTAATAATGTTTGCCAGAGAAGTTTCAGCACATGCACAGTTGCTAGCCTGTTTGTCCTTCTAGACTGTCTGTTTGCACTGTGATATATATCAGTATCTTAATATTTCTGGAAATTTTACATCTCTAATCCAGGCTAAATTATCCCAGGAAAATGTAATAATGTTTGCCAGAGAAGTTTCAGCACATGCACAGTTGCTAGCCTGTTTGTCCTTCTAGACTGTCTGTTTGCACTGTGATATATATCAGTATCTTAATGTTGGTATGAATGTGTGTTTGGACAAAATATTTTGTGGATCCAGAGAGGTGCACTGACTTCTCCATGCAGGTGTTGCTGTTCTGAGCCTGCATCCCCCCCCCCCCCCCCAGGTATATTTTCCAGTGAAGAAACTGTCATGGTCCAGCACCAGGATTTTCGAGATAACTGTAATTGCTTTGGTTGCTGTTATGGCACTTTGGTAAGAGAAGCACATTAATCGGATTTTAAAAATTCAAATTTATTCTCTCTCTCTCTTAAATATATATATATATATATTAAAAACATGATTATTGTTCATATCCCTCACTTGGGGAAACATGGTTTTTTCCCCCTACACTGATTCACTTCTTCAAATGAAGATGAAAAAAAGGGATTTTTCCCTTCAATTCTAATACTGGTTTAGTTGAACCAATGATAATCAAGGATTTTGAGGATGGCAAATGGAGGCTAAGGCTCCGATTTTCTATGGAAGCTTCCCAGGCACTCATGCTCTTCATTAGGTTTGCCAGGTCCAATTGTTCTGATGGCAGGGGGTGGGAGGGAGTCTTCCGGGGAGGTGTTGCTGGCATGATGATGTCACACGGAAGTGATGTCATCATGCAGAGGACCTTACATGGTGACGCTATAGCGTTTTGGCCAAAACTCTATGGCTACCATAGAGTTTTGGCCAAAATGCTAGAGTGTCACCATGTGATGTCCCCGGCATGATAATGTCACTTCCGTGTGACATCATCGCACTGATGACATCAACACGTGCCCTGCCTGTTTGGAGGTGGGGCTTCCCTTGCCAGCCAGCTGGTCAGTGGCATGCAGAAGCCCCCCAAATTGGGGAACCACACGTCTGGACTGGGGGTCTGGCAACCCTATCTTCATTCTATATACAAGCTGCAGACACTTTGTATGGGATGGGGAGAACTGTCTGGACTGGGATTTTGGACAGCATGGAGTCCATCACTTGGGCTCTCCTTCTTCAGATTCCCCAGAACTACCAAGGGTCATCCACTGCAGGTTAGCAGAGGTTCTGTGTCCCTTGTCCAGCTTAGAGCATGAAACATATGAAGCTGCCTCATACTGTATCAGACCATTGATCTATCAAGGTCAGCAGTGTCCATTCTGACTGGCAGTAGCTCTCCAGGGTCTCAAGCAGAGGTCTTTCACATTACTTGCTACCTGGTCCTTTTAACTGGACATGCCAGAAATTGAACTTGGGACCTTTTCCATGCAAAGCAGATGCTCTACCACTGAGCTAGGGCTCTTCCCCTGTCCCTGTGGTAAACAAGGAGGGCTTTTCCACATAGGGGTTCCCCCCATCTGTTCTGGCCCCGTACTGCTTTGTTTTATCCCCTAATTTCCACACACATTTTTTGTGCGTTTAGCTTTCACTTCAGTTTTTTTGTTTTTCTCTTGATTTTTTCCAGTTCTTTTGAGACCACTTACACCAATGTTTTTCTGGAAACCGATTTTAAGTCAGCCTTTTCCTCATGTGTAATGTTTTTGTCAGTTATCTTTATCCCACCCACCTCTAGCCCATTGTTGTGGTCAAACTACACCCTCTCCTCCCTCCCACCCTGAAGACGAGTGATTTTTTAAAATAAAGACTCTCAAATATTGATATATCACCGGAATGTTGAAACAATAGGCTTAGCAGGTTCCCTGAAATTCCAGCCTTCATTTAAAAAAAAAAAAAAAAAGTTAGTCTCTATTTCCTTCCCTCATGGAGATATGCATGTTTTCATATATCTCCACAAGGGAAATTTTGGGAAAGAGAGAAAGACTTATTTTTTAAAAATGAAAGCCAGGAATTCAGAGAACCGGCTAAGTCTGTTGTTTCAACCCTTCAGTGATATGTCAGTGTTTTAGTGCCTTTTTTAAAGGGGGGAGTGCTGTGATGCCACTGATGATACCACCAATAATGAAAGTACCCTCTTGGAAATCCTCATTTTTGAAGGCACGTTCGGAAGAAAATAAATTGATTCCACAACTGTGGAAATGCACAGGGAGCACAGATGGGGAACACAACTGTGCCCAAACCGATTCCAGTGCTTGTGGATTGACTCTCAAGAAAATCAGGAGTAAGTCAAGCTTACGGAAACGCTGGGGGGGGGGGAGCTCTTATGGACCTGACTAGAGAGATCCTGTGCTGCAGTTCAAAATGGGTTTACTCAGTGTAATCTAAGGACTTTATGTCTTACCCTTGAAAAATTAGCAAGTGTTTTTTCAGTACTGTTTCTGAGCTCTGTCCTCACATTGTCAATTATGCTGGATATCCATCTATGGAATAAATGTCTCTTTACAGTGTCACGACCATGTCCACCCTTTATGTACTTAGCGTACCAGAGCAAAACATTGTCCATCCTGAACACAGGCAAGTGGTTTATCTGTTATTCACTTATATATTTGGACTTGAATTCCTTTCTGTTCTAAGTACTCTGGGAAGATACCAGTATATTTAAAGTGTATAACATTGTCATAATGTATCTGGCATTAAGAAGATTGACAAGCCTCCAAGCGATGGAATTCTACTCTTGAGTAGCATTTGCTGTTTTATACACTGCCTTCTTATAGGCCTGGAGTAGGAATGGGACACTAGCATTCATGCCTTATTGACTTCTAGATTGTTGTAATGTTCTCTACATGGGGCTTGAAGACTTTAAGGAAAGATTACATATCAGATTTTAAGGAAAGATTACATATCTTTGTCAGGAGATCTACAAATGTGAACTTGTAGATCTCCTGACAAAGATATGTAATCTTTCCTTAAAATCTGCCTCCATTCCTGAGGATTGGAAGGTAGCTAATGTCACTCCCATCTTTAAAAAGGGTTCCAGAGGAGATCCGGGAAATTACAGGCCAGTCAGTCTGACGTCGATACCGGGTAAATTGGTGGAAACCATTATTAAGGAAAGAATTAGTAGGCACATAGATGAACAAAACCTATTGAGGCAGACTCAGCACGGTTTCTGTAAGGGAAGATCTTGTCTCACTAACCTGTTAGTGTTCTTTGAGGGGGTGAACAAACATGTGGACAAGGGGGGATCCAATAGATATTATTTACCTTGACTTCCAGAAAGCTTTTGATAAAGTTCCTCATCAAAGGCTCCTAAGTAAGCTCAAAAATCATGGAATAGAAGGACAAGTCCTTTTATGGATCAAAAACTGGCTAGTTCATAGAAAACAGAGAGTGAGTGTAGGTGGGCAATTTTCTCAGTGGAGGGTGGTAAGCAGTGGGGTACCGCAGGGATCAGTACTTGGTCCACTGCTTTTTAACTTGTTCATTAATGATTTGGAGATGGGAGTAAGCAGTGAAGTGGCTAAATTTGCGGATGATACAAAGTTGTTCAGGGTGGTGAAAACCAGTGAGGATTGTGAGGCACTCCAAAGGGATCTGTCAAAGATGGACAAGTGGGCGTCAACATGGCAAATGGGGTTCAATGTGGCCAAGTGCAAGGTGATGCACATTGGAGCCAAAAATCCTAAATATAAATACACATTGATGGGGTCTGAACTGGCAGAGACTGAGCAAGAGAGAGATCTTGGAGTTGTAGTGGATAACTCACTGAAAATGTCGAGACAGTGTGTGACTGCAATAAAGAAGGCCAATGCTATGCTGGGGATTATTAGGAAGGGTATTGGACTGGATGGGCCTTTGGCCTGATCCAACATTGGCGTCTCTTATGTTCTTATGACTGTCTGGAAACTCCAGTTTGTCCAAATAATGCTGCTTGGCTGTTGTTGAGGATAAGCAGGAGGGAACACATTACACCTGTGCTCATCCTCAACAACAGCCTTTATGTTTCTGGGAACTGAGGATTATGGGGCCAGCGTGAGGACTCTGGACTAAACCCGTGTTCTCTGTAATGTGTGGATCAGCAAAATGGTACCCGAAAGAATGTCTGCTTCTGTATGAATCTTCCTTCTCTAAGATCTTCCAGTTCTAGGTAGATAAAAAACTGACCAAGTGCAGATCCTTTTCGTAGTCACCCTGACATAATGGAATTCACTTCTGCAGGATGATCATCTGTTCCCATCTCTTGCCTCCTTGTGGAGGGAAGTTAAGTTAGTACTTTACTGCCAAGCATTTGATATCGTGTATTGATTTGGAGTATGAGCACCCAACATGGGACTTGCTGGTGCCATGGCACCCACTGACACTTTTCCTGGTGCCGATCAAGTGTTTGTAGAAAGTGAGTGGGTAAGGTTGCTGGGCATAGCCAGGGAGGTAGGGACTCATGGTTGGGGGGGGGTTATCAGGGTCCCTGGAGGAATAACACCATTTCTAGCATGATCCAGGACTGATGTCGATCATGCTGGGAGTGATGTTCTAGTATTTGTCCCAAATGCTATAGTTTAACCATAGAGTTTTGGCTGAATACTAGAGCATCACCCTGTGTGATGACCTCACTTTTGGGTTACGCTGGAAGCAATGCTATCATGCCAGGGATGCTGATCTCATCTCTTCTCATTTCACTAGAGAATTTCTTCCTGCTGCCTGGCTGAGTGGGGGCAAGTAACAGAGCAGTGGGCAGAGGGAATGTCTCAGACTATACTGGGAGGCCTAGCAATGCTAGGGGTGGCTAGGTAGAGATCCTGCACAGAAGGGTTTCTGATTTGCCCATGGAGATATGATTGGCTGTGCAGATTAAATAACATTGTGTTGGCAGCAGCTGTCACCATGATTTTGGTTTTGTTTTCTCTCTCTCTCTTAAATTACCCCTCTTTCCCTACACTTGGGCTTCTTCTATGTGAGCGTGTGTGGCTCCACCCTAACAGTGGCCATTTTGTGGTTGGCTTCACCTCCCATGGTGGCCATTTTGTGGTTGCACCCACCACCTTGTGTGAGAATTCCAAAGGTGGCCATAGCTCAAAAAGTTTGGGGATCCCTGATCTAGAGCATATTGTGCTGCTTAATTTTTGTGCTGCTGTTTCTGATTTTGTAATGATGTTAATGATGACTGTTTTATTATGTTTTATTGTGATTAATTTAAAGCTTTTACTATAGAGCAGTATACTCACCTGATAAATAAAACAATTGTTCTTGTTGGTTTTGGGCATGTTTAAATTTTTTAAATTTATTTTATCATCCTTTCCCAGCAATTCAACTACTCTGATGACAATCCCTCTATCCACCACCTTTACAGGTACGGTGCTATAAACCAATCTCTGAGGTTGAAAATTGTCAACTAAAATAAATAATATTATTGTTGTATTTGCAATTGTGCCATGGAGGCCTGGAATCGACTCTTCGTTTACTTTTTTTTGTATTTTAAAAGCTGTTCCTGAAGGAACAAATATACAGGCAGTGGTGGTTAAAATGTCAGAAGCTGGAGGTGGGGGGCACCAAGTCTTCTAGTAGCCCTGGTATAGGGCTTCAGTGATTTTTTTGGGAGGAGGCCTCAGGGGGACGCAGCTAATTAAATCAGAGTTAATTGCATTAATTCAATTTGGGGCCAGCCTAGGAGGGAGGGAGCCTGGAAGAAATGCTAGGGGGCTGGGCCCCGTGCCACATTAGCTACAGGCCTACTTCAGGGCACTGCACAGCGTGTTGGCCTTATTCATGGGTAATGGAAGCAGAACAAGCTACTTATAGAAAATAAGCAAGCCTGCGCAAACATGATTGGTGTGTGTGTGTGTAATTCAAATTGTGGGATTAGGGTTGTCTTGGCACAGAATTTAGCTTTGTTAAACTCTGGTTATGTGAATGTTACTAATGAATTTGTTCTTTTCTAGTGACCAGATATAGTACAGTGTCCTCAACGCCCAAACCAACCCCCATCATACCTGAAGTGAATTTCTGTGATATTCTGCCATGTCATAAAATCTACTGCTGCCCTCTTCATCAGGCTGTAAGAAAAAATCTAAATTATCAGAAGATGAAGACAAAGGAGGAGAGTAAGTTACGTAATGAACTAAGGTTGTATTGCTACTGCTCAGAAGGACGAATGTATTCAGCAAATGTTTGTTTTACAACCATAGTGACATTTTTAGAGCCGTGATATGGTAATTGCTATTGAAACAAATTTCTCTAGGTGGTTACATTCCTGCATATACCCAAAGAAGAACAGATGAAGAGGGGAAATAGGCCAGTCAAAAAAGACAGTGTAAATGGCCCAGAGTTGCATGGTTCCAGACAATCATCTACTGAATTCCATTATCTGATTTGTTCTTTTCTCAAAAACCTCCAAGGAAAGAACTTCCACAACCTCCCTGAACATATAGACTCCATTTAGATGTAGGGACAAACTATGATACAGTGTTTACTGCGTGAGTCTTGGACTTTTATGCTCTTATCTCCTGTCTGGCACTAATCTGTCCCTGAACTATGTTTTGGAACTTTTATGCCACAAACTTGCTAAAAAGGTTCAGTCTACTAATACATTTAGATCTGAACATGCCTCATAGCAGTGGTTTTCAAATGGTACATGGAGAACCCTGGCATTTCTAGAAAGTTCTGTGTCTGGCAGGGGACTGAAGCATCATAGAATGCACTGAGGCATGAAATCCTCTGAGTTGTGGAAGCCATACACCAAGAAGCCTTTCACTTTTGTGGTTGTGCTGGGAACTGCATTTTGCCATAAGCCCTTTCCAAGTGCTGAGGGAAATTCCTTCCCCACCTGAGTGGTGGAGAGGGTCAGTTTACTGACAGTTTCTAAAATCAGAAAACCCTCAGTTGGACTGCGACTTGAAAAATGGGAAGCTAGCATGGGGTGTGTGTGTGTCTGTGTATCTGCATGACTATATAACTGTTTCCCTTTGTGCCATTTTCCTATCAACAATTGCTATCCCCAAGTTGTTTTTACACCTACTCACTCTCTTGTTTTCATGCTCTTGTCCCCTCTCCAAAGATAAGTATCCCTATAAATTTTGCTAAAAACTGCAGAATGGGAAAAGTACCTTTTCACAAAACTATCATATGCCCTCTTCAGGGGTCTTGTATGGACATAATTCTTCAAACCTGCCCTCGATTGATCTCCTGGAAATATGGAAGCACATTTTGATATCTGTTGCATATTTGTTTTTGTGATTCAATTTGTGAAGGCCCTCTTCAAGGAGATAAATGCCCATTCTTCTTCTAGGAAATAAAAGAAAAGGACAGTTGGAACCAAACTGGATTGAGAAGCCTGACCTTGGAAATGACTGTGAGCTTCTTTTCTTTAAAAACAATCCCTCAAAAACACTTCAGTTTTAAAATATCTGTAGATTTGGTTTATGAGATTATGGCCGATTTCCCACAAGCTGCTGCAGCGCACTCACTCTTCCCTTTGCCCCGACCGTACGTGTCAATTTCACACTAGGTGCCGCGCAGCTGCATTTTGTCCTGCAGCTTCGCCCAATTTTCCCCGCCTCTACTCAATCCTGTTTTTGAGGATTGAGTAGAGGCGAGGAAAATCGGGCGAAGCTGCGGGCAAAATGCAGCTGCGCAGCACTTAGTGTGAAATTGACACGTACGGTCGGGGCAAAGGGAAGAGCCAGCGCGCTGCAGCAGCTTGTGGGAAATCGGTCTATGATTATACATCCTGTTGGTAGGAGGCCTTGTGCATCTTTTAAGTATCTTGTCCATTATAATTTCCTTGCATGTGTTATTTCAGGGAAGAACAGCCTAGTGGCTCATAAAGGAGTCATGGGGGTGGGTGGGGCTGGGAGTGCTCCCTCCCTCAATATCCCCCCTCCAGGATTTTCTCAGGGACCTGAGCAGCTTGGTTTCTCCTTCCCCTTTTTTCCTTTTACCCAGCTTTCAGCTACTCTGAATATTCCATCCCTTTTGGGGCATATTTAGGTATCAGGCCTTTTCTCTCTCTTCCCTGGTATTGCAGCATTACTGTTGCATAGGGCTGCCAGGTTCAAAGTCCCCAGTGGGGGACTTGGGGGTGGTATTCCTGGAGGGGGTGGGGAGTCCCCAACATGACGATGTCATACAGAAGTTTAAAGACATCTTTTAAACACTGTTGGGAAGAGGTGGGGGGAGGCCATGCTCACCTGCACTCCAAGCCCCGAACCCAGAGCTTAGAGTGCAGGCGCACGGCCCCTGCCACGCCCCAGCAGCATTTAAGGATGTCTTTAAATGCTGTTGGAAAGAGGTGGGGGGGGGAGGCTGGGTGGTTGCTCTTGGGGCGGTACTTCTTCCACCTGGCAGCTGACTGGTGGCGGGAAGGAGGCCCTCCAAATCAGGAAATCCCTGCTTTTAACCAGGGAGTCTGGCAACCGTACTGTTGCAAGCTTGACCTATTATCAATTTCACCAATAGGAAAAAGGACTGGTAAAGTGTCTTGACTATCCTCTTAATAGACCCTAAGCGTTGGGGGAAAGATTTTGTTTAATGTTAGAGCCTGTTGGGCCCTGAAAGAGGTGGATTTCTCACCTATCTGATGGTGGGTGGACAGGTGCAGATGCGGACTGGCCATTTGAGTCACACCATTGACATTCCACGGATGTTGTCCCTGCCCAGCTGACCAGAGGGAGAGGGTGATGGGACCTGACAGGCAAGGACAAGCTGCCACCATGGCTACCAGAAGTGGAAGAAAGCAGTAGGGCTGCCAGGTCTACACTGGCCACCAATGGGGAATTTCCCCACACCATTGAAGCTCCCTCCAGTTACCACCACTCGACTGAAGCATCATGGAGTACACTGAGGCATAAAATCCTCTGAGGTGTGGAAGCCATACACCAAGAGGCCTTTCACTTTTGTGGTTGTGCTGGGAACTGCATTTTGCCACAAGCCCTTCCCAAGTGCTGAAGGAAATTCCTTCCCCACCTGAGTGGTGGAGCGGGTCAGTTTACTGACAGTTTCTAAAATCAGAAAACACTCAGTGGGACTGTGACTTGAAAAAGGGCAGTGGGCCTGGGCAAACAGTGGTCATTTTGGTGTGACGTCACTTTTTACACGACCCTAGAAGCAACATCATCACATCAGCACAACGCTTTAGTATTCTACTGAAACACTACTTGTTACTTCCAGGGTCACATCCAAAGTGACGCCATGCCATTGGAGCGATGGCCTTTTTCCCTGGCATTTTCCCCCTACGATGTGAGACTGGGGGACGGCCAGCAGGAGTGGAAGAGACTGATTAGGATTGCCAGCTCTGGGCTGGGAAGTTCCTGGAGATTTAGGGGGTGGAGCCTGGGGAGGGCGCGGTTTGGGGAGAGGAGGAACTTCTCTGGGGTATAACACAAGACACACAGAGAGAGGAAGGCAGACTCTTTGGAGGTGGCAGAGGCACCTGGGGAATATAGGATTCCTCTGTCTTTATATTTGATGTGTGGTAGTGGGACTGCTGCCTTGTGGGGGTGCCTTCACCTGTGCTCTGTGTCTATATTTGTAAACACTACAAAGATGCCTAAAGACCCCACTGCTCTCTTCTGCAAAGGGAACCAGTGCAGGTGCAGTCCTACCGTTGGCATTCCTCATGGCTCTGGCAAGTGGGGCATGTAAAATGTTATTTTAGGTGCCTGTTCCATCTCTTCTTGTCGGAAAGGGCTATTGCCTGACAACAGCAGCGTGGGGCTATTGCAAAAGCCAATCCTAGCTCCTGCAAGCAAGTCTGGGATAGCCACTTGCAGTGTCCCCTCTAAGCTGAGTTAGTGTGAGCTGGCTCACAGTTTTTTAGCCTCCAACTCACAGATTTTTGTCTTAGCTCAGGAAGGATGGCTCCAGAGCAAACTAATTTATGCAGTAGCCAAATTGCTTGCTCACAACTTTAATGGCAGTAGCTCACAAACTAGACTCCACAGCTTAGAGGGAACATTGCTGAGCTGTAGTGATGATGCATGAAACAAACGGGCCATGCTGGGAAAGAAGAGCAAGTGCAGGGTCAGTTGCTGATAGAAGCAGCCGAATGCCAAATTGTGTGGCAGGTTTGGGTCAGACACTGCAGAGCAAGATGAACTTGCCTGTTCAACGGGACATATACCCAGTGTCTCTTTTAAAGCCGTTGGCTGCTATGCATGTAATATTAGCACAGCAGAGATCCATAGGCTGGGCTAGTAGTCTGCTGAATTGCTAATGTTGCATGTGTACATGAGTGTACACAAGGCCAGAAGAGCCCACCAGTGTCACTTTTTAATCAGGCCACAGATTTTTCTTAAACAGTAGGCAGGTCTACATTAGAAACCCCTTACATGTAAAATGTTATTGTTCTTTAACAGTGATTTGCACATAAACTTTTCATTTTTTTCAGAAAAGTATGATTAATGTTGAGTTTCTCTGCTTGAGAAATAATCTAGAAAATTGGTTTTATTTGTTTTTAGGGATTGATACAAGAATCACATCTATGCAGATCTTACAGACACAACAAAAAATTGATCATCGCTATTGCAGCAAAAATCTGCAGTCCAGGTTGGTAAAATGATTTTTGTTGACAGAGTGCAGAAACCCAATGTGTTGGCTTGGTCTAGAGGTTAATCTACCACCACCAAAACCTTTATTTGAAGCTAGGTAAACCTGAAAAAACCAGGTCTGCTGCAGTTGGTTTTGTCATAATCTAGTTAGTTTCTCCAGTTCAGGATACACAAAAATCCCACATTAGTTTCTGTGAATGCTTTTGGTTCAACAAAAATTGCCATTCAAGCATTTGGGAGGTTTATCTGTACAACATAATATGACATTCTTACAAGGGCAGGATTTTCCAAAGTTGTTATTTTGCACTTTAGTCCAGATGCTAGCCAATTAGCAATGTGTTGGCTGGCTACTGCAAACAGTGAAACAGTATTTCTCATTATTATTCTCCATTCAAAATTAGGGTTGCCAGCCCCCAGTTCTGGGCGGGGGTTCCTCCGCTTTTGGGTGCTCCAAGTAGCCACCAGCCAGTTGGCCAGTGGGGGAAGCCCTGTCACCAAGCTCCGCCCCCAACCCCCGCCCCCAAGAGCCAGGGCCACCCCTCTCCCTCTCTTCCTGAGAGATTTAAGGGGCTTCAGCTGATTGGTGGGGAGCACGTGGCCTGCCAATCAACTGGAGGGCCCTCTAAATCTTTCAGGAGAGAGGGAGAGGGGCTGTTGCTGGCCACGTGCTCCACTCACAAAAAGACCTTTTAAACGGTCTTTTTGCAAGTGGGGTGGGGGCTGTGGTCTGTGGGTCTGATTTCCCAGCAGTGATTCTTTTTGCAAGTGAAGAAGAAGAAGAGGAGATTGGATTTATACCCCGCCCTTCACTACCCAAAGGTGTCTCAGAGCGGCTTACAAACTCCTTCCCTGGCCCCAGGCAGGCAGGGGTGGGGAGACGCGGGGAGGAAGCAACTTACCCTCCCTCTTCTCCTGCCTCCTCCTGGCTGAATGAGTGCTGGAAGCGAGGCGGCCGGAAGCAGGGGACGGGGCTTCGTCATGTGCCCCGCCCCCTGCACCTCACCCGGGGGAACTGCGTTCCCCCACGTTCCCCCCCGAAATGACCTCTGACAGTATGCCCCACCACCTGCAGCCTTGACAATTAAAGCTAGCCACGATGGGTTGCGAGGTTCCCTGCAGGAGATTGTCAATAGGTCCCTCTCTGAAGGGACTTCCCTGAGGGCTCTTAAGGAGGCGGTGGTTTGCCCTTCTTAAAGAAGCCATCCTTGGACCCGGCAGAATTGGCAAACTATTTTGGGCAAAATAATTGAGAGAGCAGTGGTGAGTCAGTTGCAGAGCTTTCTGGATGATGCTTCCATATTAGATCCCTTCCAGTCTGGCTTTCACCCAGGCTATGGCACGGAGACAGTATTGGTCGCCCTCACAGATGACATCCAAAGACATCTGGATTGAGGTGGGATGGCAGTGTTGTTATTGTTAGACATCTGGGCTGCATTCGACACTGTCGACCATCAGCTACTGATCCACTGCCTTGCCGATGCTGGAATTCAGGGGTCTGCCTTACAATGGCTTGCCTCCTTCCTCCAGGGCCAGGGACAAAGGCTAGCACTTGGGGAAGAGCTGTCCCAAAGGCATCCGCTGGTTTGTGGAGTTCCCCAAGGAGCGGTTCTAACCCTCATGTTATTTAACATCTATATGCACCCCCTTGCCCAGATTGATCAGAGTCATGGACTGGGTTGTCACCAGTATGCTGATGACACTCAGTTATATCTGCTGTTGGGTGGCCGGTCGGGTGGCCGGTCTGACTCTGGGCCGGAAGATCTGGACTTGGCGTTAAAAGCTGTGGCTGGGTGTCTTAGACTGAGCTGACTGAAACTGAATCCGACGAAGACGGAGGTTCTGCGCCTAAGTCGCAGCTGTCCAGGGTTAGGGATCTTACTCCCAACCTTCAATGGGGCACCATTGGTGCCATCGCCAGTGGTTAGGAGTTTGGGAGTGTTCTTCATGATGGAGGTCCAAGTAGCAGTCACTGCCAAGTCGGTCTTTTACCATATTCGGCTGATTGGGCAGCTGGTTCCCTTTCTTGAATACAGTGACTTGGCAACGGTAATCCACACAATGGTCACCTCAAAATTGGACTACTGTAATGCTCTCTACATGGGGCTACCTGTGTCCCAAATCTAGAAACTGCAGCTGGTGCAGAGTGTGATGGCCAGGCTGTTGTTGGGTCTCCCTTTGCGAGAACGCATCCAGCCTGCACTGAATGCACTGCACTGGCTGTCTATGGCTTACTGACCTCGCTTCAAGGTGCTGGTTCTCACTTATAAAGCCCTTTATGGCCAGGGGCCAACATACCTGAGGGACTGCCTTTCCCCACATGTTCCCCAGAGAGTACTGCATTCAGGGACACAAAACCTCCTGACTCTCCCTGGTCCAAAGAGGTCAGACTGGCTACCACCAGGGCTAGGGCCTTTTCGGTGGCAGCTCCGCGCTGGTGGAATGAGCTTCCCGAGGACAACAGGGCCCTGTAGAATTTATTACAGTTCCTCAGGGCCTGCAAGACAGAGCTCTTCCACCAGGCATTTGAGTGAGAGCCTATTTTTACCATCGGTTATTACCACTATTGACTGATACCTGTTATGGATAATACTTGAAATTGTTGTTTGCCACCTGGTATGCAATATCTATGTATAACACTTTAGAATTTGTTATATGATTTTATTTTGTTTTTTTTAAAAAAAATTCTGTAAGCCACCCTGAGCCTGCTTCAGAAGGGCAAGGTAGAAATCCAATAAGTAAATAAACACATAACAGGGGTGAAGTGCCACTGTTATGAGCCCTGGCATCCCCTTTCTCTCCTCACCAGCCTCTGCGGTGCAGAGGTGGTGGATCTATGGGCAGCCCCCTGACCCCTGCTGCTGTGCCGGGCAGTCTTTTCCCACTGCTGGGTCTCAACGGGTCAGTGCAGTAATCCAGAAGGGATCAGCAGTGACAGGACTATTGGGGGTGGGGGAATCTTGGCTTGCAGCAGCGTCATTGTCAGGCAGTGGAATCCAGCAAGGGTGCTGGTTAGATGGGGCTGCAACAGGGCTGGGATGAAACGTTTGGAGGCGTTCTGGTATAAAAACTCTGATGGGCTGGTGGGAGGGCAGGCTGGAGAAAGCAGGCAATGAGAGAGACAGACACCCCCACCCCCATGGCTGCAGACAGGCTCTGCAAGCCAGCAGCAGGCAGAATCTATGTAACTGCTGGAGAGAAAGAGAAAAAGAAAGAGAAAGTAATGGGGTAGGGAGGGAGAAAGAGAAATAAAGTGACAGTAGGTGTGGAAAGAGGAGGAAAGAAAGAAAGAAAACAGATGGAGACATAAATAAGAGAAGGAGTGGGCAAAGGAAGAAAAGAGAGATGGAGAAGGGGTGGTAGGGGAGGGGAATAAGTAAAGCTGGGGGAATGTGATGATTTTCAGGGAAGGGGAAGGGGAAGAAATAGAGAGGGGGAGTGGAGAAGAAAGAGGGAGAAGTTTGTTAAAGAAGGGGGGAGGAAGCAAGGGAAGGGGAAGGGATGCACCCTCCCCACATGTTTCTTGTGGGTTCCCACTCGTGGTCCCTAATACTGGGATACTGCTAATCATTGCTGCCCACTCAGCGTTCTGATCAACTTGGTATTGCTCATTGGGCCACTTACGGTTTTGTGAATTTCATACACGTTTTTACTTTTAATGGTTTTAAATGTCATTAATGTTATTCTCATTTTAGGTCTGGAAATTACAGTTACTTTGTTCCCATTAACAAATACACACCTGTCAAAGTAAAAATCTCACTGGAAATCAAGTAAGTACAGGAGCAGTTTTGACTATGGACAAACTATTTTCCATAATGTAGCTAGCATGATCTGGGCAAAGGCTTTACATATTTTAACAATGGGAATAGTTAGATATTCTACAACAAAATCAAGAGTCAATGTTCTTGAAGCAAGAATTCCAGTCTCACTTATATCCATGTCAAAACTTCTATTAACTTTAACAGAACTGGGTCACATCCTTAAAACCAATTAATAATTTTGCTACTGATATTGTCAGGGCAGTCCTAAGCTGTGTTACACCCTCCTAAGTCCATTGAAGTCAGTGGGTAGAGAACAGTTGTATAATTCTGCACTATATGTGAGCCGTCGCTGAACTTGCACAATGCTGCAGATCAGCTTCCATGATTAGGTGAGTCCATCAATGGCTTGCTCACCAAAGTTGATTGGCAACATTGGAATAAGTTTTCTTATTGCATATTACAACTTCTTGTACGAGGAGATCTGTTGCTTGATCTGTTAAATGTAAATTCAGCAGTCAAATATGATTGGTCCATAGATTTTAAGCTTAATTACATCTGGCATCAATTTTGTACTTAACAAGTTTTGTATTCAGCACTTTTCTGTCTCTCTCTGATGTTCTTGATGCTATCTCTGAGCAACTGTATGGATAGAATTGGCACTACCTGAAATGGAATTGACTCCCAGAAAACATCTCAGCTATTGCCTTGTGGGAAAGTAAGCAATGCCCACTGTGGATGTTTTACAGTGCAAACCTAATCCGAAATATACCCTTCTAATCTCACAGACTGTAGTGGATTTAAGACCAAACTATACATTACCTGTGACACAAGTGTCATTTTTGCAGACATATGTGATGTCAGGGAACTAATGTTCCCAAGCATACTGGGGCTCAAATTCCCTAAGGAATATGATATGGGAGGCATAAGGGACTTCAGCCTTCCACCTGTACCATTTCCCAAGCCACAAGGGGACCATAACTGCCCCACTGTTAGACTCCACATACACTAGCACCTGGAGCCCCCATATCTGTTTCTGGCTCAGGAAAATAGCACAGGAGGGAAGGCTGAAGCTCCTTCTCCCCTCTGTCATGCTCCTGAGCAGAATTGGGCCCCAGCACACAGTAACATTAGTTCCCTGATGTCATGCCTGTTTGCAAAAAGTCCCCCAGCCTGACTTTTGTTACAGGTAACGTGTAGCTTGGCCCTCAGAAGGCTGTTACTCTCCATTCTTAAAGTATAACATTCTTTAAACCGTAGAATGTAACATTACAGCTTTTCATATTATCCTTTTTTCTTGAAGTACAACAGAGCCATTAATTATCTTTCAATGCAAAATCACCTATGGAAATCCTTGTTCATATCATCCTCAAACCCGCAAGAAGAGGGAACCTTTTCAGGAAACCACACAGGTATTGCTTTTTGTTGCCATCAAGGCTGCCAAGAAGAGTCATCATGGACACGCGGGCAAAGAATCCATCTGGGCCCCCTCATACGACCCTGATCTAAACCAAATATTTTAGCAGAATAAATTACGGTATTTGTCTGGCTGTTACCACACAGCTTTAATAATAAAAGGATCCGCATGTCCATCTGTCTGTCTGTTTGTGGCAGACATAACTAATCAGAAAATAAAACTAGGAATCTCAAAATTGACCACCAGCTTCAGGATGATCATGGGAATTCCAGGGCCAAAAACGAAAGGAATCAAAATATCTTGGCCCAGATTATCTGCAGGCCCTCGTCTGCTATTTGCAATGGAAGCTAAACTAAATTCTAACTTCTGTTCCTCACTTATTACCACTAAAGCAGATTAACATTCTATTATCATCCATGTAAAGGGGTGGGGTAGAGCATCTTTTTTCTACTTTGATAGATTATGGGGAAATATAAACTTCCCCCTTCTGTTCATAATATTAACAAGGGTTTACTGCCTTACTATTATTCAATACATTCTAAATGTCCAATCAGAATGGATGAGACCAAGACCGAAAAATTTGGGTGGTGGGGGAGTGGGGATATAAGAATGGCAGATCATGAAAAGGAAGACAGCAAATGAAAGATGAGGAAAGTCTGGAAAAGAGTTGGAGAAAGTAAGGAAAAGACAAATTGGGGGGGGGGATTGCTACCACACACTAACAAGGCAGCCCCTTTACAGATCTGGTTGTGCAGCCAAAACTATGGAGCTGGATGGAACTAAGAAAGAGGGAAACCACAGACTGCTGAAGATAACAACCTTATTAGAAGGCTACATCCTGGCAATAACTGTGTCTTGTCTTGGTTGGTCTTACCTTGATCAGACACCGGCTTCACTGATGGGTTTAGCTGCTAAACCCTTGCTTCTCAAATCCTACTGAACTTTAACAGTTCCTCGTAAGCCTTGTAAAAAGGCTTGCCCAGCAGAATCAGAACAATTCCTGTTCACTGTGCTCTGCCTTCCCTGGGAGCCTAGTGGCTGAAGTACAGAACTGCATTATAAGTTTTTTTAAAAGTAACTGCATTCCATGACTGTCGCATGACACTGGATTCAATTTTCCATCTTGGGCAGATTAGGTTGCTGAAACCCTATCTCTCTCCCCAAGACTTGGCTACAGTGACCCATGCAATGGTCACTTCCAGGCTTGACTACTGTAGTTCACTCTATGCAAGCTTACCCTTGAAGCTGACCTTAGGGTTGCCAGGTCTGGGTTGGAAAATACCTGGAGACTTTGGGGGTGGAGCCAGGAGAGGGCGGGGTTTGGGGACGGGAAGGGCCTCAGCATAGTACCATGCCATAGAGTCCACCCTTCAAAGCAGCCATTTTCTCCAGGTTAGCTGATCTATGTCAGCTGGAGATCAGTTGAAAAAGTGGGAGATCCCCAGGCCCCACCTGGAGGCTGACAACCCTAGCTGACCTGGAAATTACAGCTGGTGCAAAATGCAGCGGCATGCCTGCTAACGGCAACACCTATGCGGGCTCAAATTTGGCAGGTACTCCGCCAATTGTACTGGTTACCAGTAGAGTTCCGGATCTGTTTCAAGGTGTTGGTAATAACCTTTAAAGCCTTACACAGCCTGGGACCAACATATCTGGGGGACTGCCTCTTCCCATATATGCCCCAAAGAGCACTACGCTCTATGGATCAACATCTCCTGGTAGTCCCTGGCCCGAAAGTCATCCATCTTGCCTCAACCAGGGCCAGGGCCTTTTCCACCCTGGCCCCTGCCTGGTGGAACATGCTCCCCATTGAGATCAGGGCCCTGCGGGATCTGCTTCTATTCCGCAGGGCCTGCAAGATGGAGCTGTTCTGCCAGGCCTTTGGCTGAGGCAGTGGACGTCCATATATGGCCTCCCTGAGGTATCTGTCACTCTATTAACAACTACTGGCTATAGTCAGGAACCTCCCACAACCAGAAAATCTCTTTGTTATCTGCTGTGACCACCATTTTAACATTTTAATATTTATGGTGATGTTTTAAATTTAATTTTATTGTATTAGCTAATATATTTGTATACATGAAATGTTGTTACCCACCCTGAGCCTGCTTCTGGGAAGGGCAGGCTATGAATGCAAAGAAAGAAAGAAAGAAAGAACTTTTGTCCCCCCAGTTCCCCCTCTTGGCAGACCTGTATAGGAGCTGTTTCGTCTTCTTGTCTCTGGAGAAAAGCTTTCAGATCTAGAAGGAAGTACATAACGTCTTCCTTAGATTACTTCAGGTGGAGCAAAGTAGCATCCATTTAGTAACTTTATGGGAAAGACTGACTGTGTAACTCTTTGGCAAGTTAGGAGGATTTGGTTTTGGAAATGGTATCATGACATTGTAAAGTTAGATACATTTATTCACTGTAGGGTTGCCAAGTCGTACCTCATCCTGAAGCGGGGGACTCCCGGGTCGATCCTGGAGTGCCGCATCCACGTCACCAGGAAGTGATGCGACCACGCCGGGCATGCTGGGGGCGGGGCCACAACCATCTGAGGGAAAAACATAGAGTTTTCCCTCGGATGACCGTGCCCCCCTCCAGCGTGCCCGGTGTGGTCGCGTCACTTCCTGGTGACGTGCACGTCGGGGTGGAGTTCCCCCCGGGGCCTGATCTGGCGGCAGTGGGGAACGGGCCTCTGGGGCGGGGGTTTCCCCGCCCCCCGGGGGGACTTGGCAAGCCTAATTCACTGGGGTGAAAAACCTAAACCCAATTTGCCTGGATCTCAGTCAGTGGCACTGGCAGCTACAGGAAAAAGCCAACTCAAGCTTTAGCCAATACTGAGTTAGTCAGATGTGTGTCAGTTATATTGCTGCTAACCCCTGTTTATGGTACCTATTAAAAGCTTGGCAAAAGCCAGTTCTCATATTACATCTTAAACTTAGGAACAGAGTCACTAAGTGTTTTGACCTGGCCTACTTCCATGTGGAGGTTTGCTCCGCATCCCACCCCATCCCCCCAAAAGACTACAGTAGGCTTTTTGGGGCTTCAGCGCCCTAACATCGAGCAGTTCTAGGTTTCCCTAACCTGATTTACTGCAGTCTTTCCAGAATGATTGTACTCAAAGGCAGTTTGGGATGGGAAGGTGCAGATGGAACCAACCCACACCCGGCACTATTTTCCCTTGTGTCTTCCTTCTCCCAGCAGTAGGCTTTCTGCCATTTTAAAAATCAGTACTAGATATATTGTTATAGCACCACTACACCATAGCTGTATGCCTACTACTGATTTTTTTAAAGCCAGAAAAAAGCACTCCAGCAGTGCATGGGGTGGGTGTGGGTGGGAAATAGTGCAAGGGAGTAACATGGAGAATCCCTCTGTGCTGAGCCTCTGTTGCCACTGGAAATGCCTCTCATTTGCAGCTACAATGAGAACACAATGGGGAATCGTCCCCATGTGGAAACAACGCAGGATGAACATTCTGTATAAAGCTGAAGTACATTTTTTTTTTTTAAGGAAAATGATGTTCAGTTAGATTGGGACAGGACAGAGATGATTAACTCCCATTGAGGAACTAAGCTTACAGCCTCTAGGCTTGTGATTGGCTTCTTTTTTAAGGAATGTAGTTCATTATATTTTTCCTATAGCCATTATGAGTAGATTTGGTGGGCCACATTGCAGGTCCTGCTTCTGGTGAATACATCCCCCCCCCCCCCCCCCCCCCCCCGTCAAGCAGAGAACAGATGCCTTGGTTTCCCAGAGACCAAACAGATGATCAAGCTACCCTATACTCTAACTTCAGTCCTGGCAACCAGTTTCTAAACATTGTCAGGGTTTCAACTCGCATATGATTTTCCTATTTAACTCATGATACCTGTGAATATGTCTAATACCAGTGATGCCCCTTGATGGGTGAAGGTATGCTGATATAGGATAGCTCCACACATTATACATCATACAATAAGAATATGTCCATGTTGAGGAGAGTGTACAATTTTCACAAGTGTCGGGTTTTGCCATAATCACACATGCTTGAAAACTAATGTGTACTGAAGCTGTCAAATAGGTGTCATCACAACATAGTTGACAGTGGTGCCAGTTTGGTTGCCTATGATCTCTTTCTCCCCCCCCCTCATTTGTTCTGTAGGGTTTCCAACATATTTGGGATCTTCCTGTAGCTTCCATGTATGACAGTGCATATCATTTTCGGGTTGCTGCTCCAGTAAGTCTGTTTCCAAAGGCAATCAGAGAAAAAGAGGGGGGAAAACACATTGAGCTATAATTGGGTTCTCTCTTAATCTGCTTCATTTTGTTCCAACAGGATCTTGCAGACTGTTCAACAGATCCTAACTACGCTGGGATATTTTTCACTGATTATTTCTTCTATTTTTATCACAAATGCAACTAAAAGGCTGGCATTGACTCTTCCTGCAAAAGGAGGGGAGGGGAATACCTTTAGTGACACCAACAACTTTATTGCCAGATTATTTTTTCTAAGTAAACTCCTTATTATAGAAATAAACTGAAGTAAATAAAACTGTTGTTGTTCAAGGTCTTCGTATTTCAATGTGTGCTAAATTGGCATGACTGCTGACAACTCCAACAGAACATAGTTTGATTTAAATAACATTCAGTTGGCTTAAATCCAGCTATCTGTCTGATCCACTTGGTGAACTGGGCTACAGGCATTCATTTTAGTGATGTTAACAGAATAATTCTAGGGAAACAATCTTATGTTTTCAGATTCAGCTATTCCCAAACCAAAGGAAGACAATGGGATTTCTAATTAGATTTATGCCACACATCTGAGAATCAGTCTAGTTCAAACGACCATATTAATCAAATAACAAAAATACCTCCCTATTTCAGTCATAAATGTGCATTGTGTGTGAAAAGTACTCAGAACGTGGAGTGATTCAGCAAGAGTGATTCAGCAAGAGTACTTTATTAATTCAGGAACAAGACAAAGAAACCAGCTCGCAGGCCGGTTTATATGCGTTCAGAAAACCCGCCACCAAGCACACCTAAACACCCCCTACTCCCGATAGGCTATTTACAGTAACCGGGTGACCATTGGTCTCCCGGCTGGGAAGCTGGCCCTTTGATTGGGCCGGCTAGGATCCTATGGATCCTTTGTCTTTCGACTGAAGCTACTGAGGAGTATTGCCAGGTCAGCCCGGGCAAGTCCGGGCATGTCAGGCTGAATGCACTACACGTGGTAATGGCGACAGTACATTACAGTGTGTGTGTGGGGTGTGTGTTTCCCATATTTCCCTTTCTTCTGAAAACTATAATGGACCCTGCATTGAAGCTCTTACAGATTTCTAGTGGCACAGTTCTACCAATCTCACATTTAGCTATGCCAGGTGAATTTCTTCCTTGGTATTTATTTATTTATTTCATTAAACTTCTATCCCGCCCTCCCCACATTGTAGGCTGGGGGGGGGAGTAGCAACATGTATCTATCTACAGTTAATGCAATTTTACAATTTAGAACAATAACAATAATCAGTTAAAAACCCTAAAATCATCAACCTTAATTCAATAAGATCACCAGCATTCAAAAAAACAACATGCCTCTCAACAGATAGTGTGGTCCTAGTCTGGCTTTCAGGATCTGTGGTCACGGGGTGGGGGGAGGCCTGATACATTGGCATTGGCAAACCAAACCATGACAGTGGGAACTAGCTCTTTATCAGTGTAGCATATTTCTTAACAGTCCCCTAGATTTTCATCTTGTGAACTGTTGTACAAAGCATTCTCGGTTTTTTAGTAACTGGGCAAAAGAGTCATTGCGGCTGTTTGGTGATACTGTTATGCATCAGAACATCCAGGGATTTTTTTGTAGAAAAAGCCCAGAAGGAACTCATTAGCATAATTGGCCACACCCAACAGCAGAAACTTGTTAGCATATTAGGCCACCCCCCCCATGCCTTCCCTTGGCTTGCCCAGGCACCATGCGGCTGCAGGGAGCCTGGGCAAGCCCCCCACCCCCTGAAGGGAAGGGTTTTTTATCTGCCTTCCCTTGGTTGCCCGGGTGCCTCACGGCTACAGGGAGCCCAGGCAAGCTGGCATTTGGACAGGCCGGGGAAGGCACAGGGAAGCATTTAAATGCCTCCCCGATCCATGCAGAGCCCCCCCGGCCCACCCGCCTCAGAGTCACCCGGGTGGGTCACTCTCCAGTTCTTCCCTCTGTAGCCACGCACGCAGAGGCTTTGGCTGTAGTGGGCATGGCCAACTCTGAAGCCAGCCGGAGCTCCGTTCCTGTGCGTTCCTGCCCAAAAATAGCCCTGAGAACATCCATAATATTCTATCAGTGTCACAGTGAATGCAGTTCTACTCACATTAAGAAGAACAACCCTTGAAGGAAGGCAACATGACAGCTACAAACCAGAACATGAGTATTAAAAACTATGAGTACTAAGTGCCAAGATCCATAGATCAAAGTCTACCCACTAAATAGTCCCCAGAAAGTATAGTCCAAACTCAGGAGCAACAATGCAGTGCAACTTATGATGACCTAATCAGACACAACCACAAATCTCTCCACATGTTCACAATAAACATTACAATGAATGGGAGGCATTGTGAATAAATGAATGCCACATGAAATCACAAGACATTGACTAGGAATAAGAATGCCAATTTAATGTGCAATAATTTTAGTACTGGTACAGTACGGTTGCAAATGCAAGACGGGTGCAGTTCTGCATATGGTTAGATACGAATCACTCTCATTGGTCTTAATGCAAACTTATCTGTATAACTGTGTGGGCAAGATAACATTTGAAATCAACAAGGCATGCGGGTAGAAACAGTGTAAGTAGTGGACTGTATCTGAAGCAGTAGTTGGGAGAAGTTTTATGGATTTTGGGGCTCTGGGCAAAACTCAGGGATGGGAACCCAAAAACACTCAGGCAGTATGGGAGAGTAGGGTGTTGGATGCTTCCAACCATCCAACACTTGGTTGCCCTCCCCCAACACTGCCCAAGTCTTAGGCAGTATCGAGGATCAGCGGTGACTCCATGGTGAAAGGGGTTCAGGATAGCAGCTGGGGCAGCTACTGCAGGGTGGTGGGAGCTCCCAATGTGGCCCTCCACAACGCAGGGCCCAGATGCCTCGTGGCTAAGACCACCCCTGGCAGCAGGCACAGCTCTTTGTAACAAAGGGTGATCAAGACTTTCCCATGGTAGGTATAAGACAGGAGGCTGGAGAGGTTTTGCTGGAGAGGTTTTGTCAGCCAATGTCTTGGAAAGGGTCTGTTTCCTCATTTACTTCATTTACAAAAGTTTAAGAAATGAAATAAATAATGGACTTCTGACAGAAAATCTTAGAAAGCACCCAGACTATAAAATTAGTCTGTAGGAAAGCGGAACCACAACCAGACAACATGGGCTAGGCTAAGTCACAGTGAAAGTTGGCAGGTAGCTAAAGAAGAAGCATTTCGAAAGAAGACAAGGATAGGAATAGAAAGTTCTGTGGTCTTGGGACCCTATTGACAGGAAAAGGTGTCTACAAGAAGTAACCACAATTGCTGAGGAATGGGCTTGTGATGTTCCATGAAGAAATGTCAGGAGAAACAGTGAAGGAGATTAATAAATAAACATCGAGTAGGTGGGCTAGGGGGTCTTGAGGGAGGGAGGGAGTGGTCTTCAAGAAAAAGCATAACCACAAATACAGGCGTTACGGCACGGGGTGTAGTTAAGCAGTCGTGATTGGCGAATGTACATTTTGGTTACCAGCCAATGGTGGCCAGAATAGGGCCTTTCTTATTTTTCATATCTCTTCGGTGATGAGTATATCTAGGCTGACTAACGGAATCAAAGGTGTGTTCAGTTCTTTTGAGCTGTGCACCCACTCTTGCAAGATGTGTATCCAATAAAAGATTATTCTGCTTCATTGAAAAAGGTCAGCCTCCAGAAGTTCTTTATTGGTAAGAACAACTTGCATTTCTAACAACAGCATGCCAAGAACCAGCTGTTTTGTTGCCATTTCCACAATAATGTTGGGTTTTGTATTTAGAGGTAATGTATTTGCCACATGTTTTCTAAGAGGTAAAATTTCAGATGCTTTCAGCTTCATTCTTCCTTCAGGGTGGGGAAAGGCAGAAGTTTCCTAGTAGAGAGCCTCAGTGACATATATGCCAGGGTTGCTAGTGAACTGAAAGAGGCTTTTGGCCAGATGCACACAGTAAATCAATGTAGGGCAGAAATTAAAGCCTTTTATTTCTCTTTGGCTCGGATCCAGAGAGCACTTGTGTCTCCTAACAGCTGGCTATAGTTTCAGTGTGCTGAGAAGGAGCAGCAATGAGATTGCATATCCACCCTTGGCTCTCCTGCAAGGTCATCTGCACATTTCAAACACCCTGACATGGCTTCTGTCAACTGATCTTAGTTCCATGAATTGACTAGCATCCTCCTGAATCTTTTACCTTCATCAGGTGAAGGCTCTGCTGCTGGTTTACTCCTTTTGAGTGATTAAATGTGTTTTTATTAATCCTTTCTCAGTCACCTGGGCTCTTGCTTTATCCCTTCAGTCTACAAAGAAAGTTGCTTTAAACAACCAGGTATAAAATGGCTTGTCATCTGATGCAATGAGAATATGTGGTGGTTGTGGATGTTGCTCTCTTATGAGTGGAGTTTAAAACAATGGTAATTCTGTTAAGTCCTTCTGTTTCACAGCTGATGTATTTATTTAATCAGTGACTGCAGCACATACTCTCTCACCAGGAAAGGATTTGAGTATTGGAGGCCACGGTCACATGGAGAATTAGGTACACGTAGGGGACGGATTAAGGGTGGATCAAACCGGCGCGATCAGACGCCAACATCTGGTAAGCATCGCACACCTGCCCCAACCTGTCTCATCCAGCTGAAAATGCGGATCGAAAAGGTACTAGGGAAAATGGAGTACCTACTGGAAGATCCGCAGCAATGGCGGGCGTGGGATCGCGGATGTGCCGGCAGCCCGTAGCATCCTGCAGCTGTCCCTGACCCGCGCATGCGCACTAACGTGGGACCGCCGTGTTGCCTCGCTGGGACTACGCCGCCTCCCCAGTGTGATCGGGTGCCGACGGAGGGCGAACGGAGCCGCAGGGGAGTGTAAGAGCGCACTCCCGTGCTTCTTTTAGCTCCGCCTCTAAAATGCCTCCCTTCCAGTGCGGATTTTCCCGCTCGTGTGACCGGGGCCTCAGTTTCTTCTCAGGGACTGTTGTGCATTTTTCTCATTCAGTCTATACTACAGTGCCTGTAACTAGAGAGCAGCTGGCTATGTGAATTAAGTTGCTTTTCACTTTTTAAAGATCTTGGAGTCTTGACTGCAGAACTATGGTAGGTTCAGAGTTTATCCGATAGCAAAGTGCAGCAATTGGTATCAAATGTGGTCTTGGATTCTAAGGCAGGTTATTCT